TGCAGTGATATGATCATATTTCCCTGCAGCCTTGAAATCCTGGGCTCAAGCAATCCTCCTGCTTCAGCCTCCCATGTAGCTGGGACAACAAGCGCATGCTACCACATCTGGCTAATTTTTAAATTTTTTATAGAGGTGGGGCTCACCTTCTTGCCCAGGTCAAACTCCTGGGCTCAAGTGAGCCTCCTGCCTTGGCCCCTCAAAGTGCTTGATTACTGGCATGAGCCACTGTGTCTGGCTGCAGAGTAGCTCCCGATGTGCCCCAAGGACCAGTGCTTGCCAATATTCCTCTGAGTGCCAGTCACAGTAAGAGACAAAGGGACACAGGGACAAGGGTGGGATGGGGCAGCGTAGCCCTTGGGGCGGCAGCTGGCTGGTGGGGAGACAGGCAGGTGCCTGAGAGCCCGAGCTGTCCATGCTCCTGGGGGGCCAAGATGCTTCCCAGGGATGGATGGGAAATGGGAAGGAGACAGTGTAGACTCCGAGGTCCCAGCTGGCATTCCAGCTCTGTCCGAGTGCTCCCTGTACACGGAGTGTCACACCCACTTGCACAGTGTCTGTGGGGCGTGAGGAAAAGACCTGTGTCAGCAGCAGCCTCAGAGCCACGTGGGTGGGCTCCAACAGGTGGAAGGGGCTGAGTGGGGAGCTGGCAAAGGTCTGTGAGATTCGAACCTCTGGGGAAGAATGACGACCCCTCCAGGGATGTGCCTCCCTGTGCCCAAAGGCTTCTTCCCAGGGAGGCCCTCCAGGAGTCCTCCCGCCCCCTCACAGAGGCAAACACCTCACCCGAGTATCCTGACGCATCTGGTGCACACCGGGGCCCTCCTGCTCTGAGCCCCTCCCTCGCCTGCAGAACTCGCCCAGGCAGGGCCAGAGCCACCGCGCAAGAGCGACATCTGTCAGTCTCTTCCCCACCCCACCCCCGTCATGTGGCTCCGTGCACACAGTTTGTGCCTGACGCAAACAGCCCAAACGGAAGAAAATACAGGACGCCCAAGCGACCCAGGCAGAGACCCCCAGCCCTCACCAGCCCCTTGAGCTCCTGCTTCCCAATACTGAGGCAGAAATCCTTCAGCAGGAACGAGCCTAAATATGGAAGAAGCTGACTGAAGTCGCCACATGTCTGGGCTGTGGCTGCCTCTCTTTAGGCCGCTTATTTGGGTTGCTATGCAATAAAAGCTTAACTCAGCACGCTTGGGGTGTCCTGCCTATTCCAAAGAGAAGCCTGGCCATGGGCGACCTGCTCCTGGGTGGAAACCTCTCGGCCCCTGGAAGAGTCAGCCTGGTCATGTCTTTGCACACTGGAGGCCTTGGGCCAACACCGCAGAGTTTGTGCCAAAAATGTGATTGAGGGTGGGGGCCCTGGGCTGTATTCATCTCATCTCAGGAGGGGCTGGAGACCGAGTGACTGAGGTCAGCCGGGTGGATACTCCGTGCCTACATGACTGATCTGCAACAAAAACGCTGGGCACCAAGGCTCAGTGAGCTTCCCTGGCCAGCCATGCTCCCTCCTCCTCCACACGTTCTTGCTGGGAGAGTGAGGCACTGTCTGTATGAAACCGCCTGGAGAGAACAGCTGGGAGCTTGCGCTTGGACCTCCTGGACTCAGCCCTGTGTGCCTTTTACCTTTGCTGACTTAAATCTGTGCCCTGTCTCTGTAACAGACCACACCAGTGAAGATAACAGCTTTCCTGAGATCTGTGAGTCCCTCTGGAAATTCACGGAACCCGAGGGTGGTCGCACAGTGTGGGGGCTCAGGTCAAGGCAGGGGGCTAAACACCAGGTGCAAACCCCACAGGTGTCAAAGGCCAGCACTCCTGTCCATGACCTGGGCCGGCCTTGTGACCCCCCGCAGACCCCCAAGCGGGTGGGGAGCCCCAGGATCCACAGGCACCCTGGAGACGGGCCCTCTGTGGCACGTGGATAGGGAAGGCCGTCCCACGGACACTGAGGGACCTCCAACCCCAGCAGGATCCTCTCCCACAGTCACGCACACCTGATGAGCGGCTTGAAGATGTTCCACAGGACCTTGATGAAGCTGGTGGGGTGCACCACGTAGAGGGCCTTCAAGTTCTTCTTGTATCTGAGGAGGGAAATGGGAGATGACTTCAGGCTGCCAGGCTCCGAGAAACACCCCACGCCCAATAGCCCAAAAAAAAGCTGCCTCCACTGTGAGTCTCACAATGTTACTTCTCTCAACGGGATCAATTTAAGGGCATCAAACAAAGAATGAAATAAACTCAGTGAAAATCAGGACCCCTCACCCACTGCCCCCGCCAGGCACGCCTGCAGCCCTTTACAGTTCGCAGAGGCACCCGTGCAGGTCGGAGCCCTGTTTATAGGCACTCACTCACACCAGGGTGGGGTGGGGGTCTGGAGCACAACCTAGGGGCAATCTGGCAACAGCTCTCAGAATTAAAACCGCACAGAGCCTCTCGGCCAGCACCTCCCCTGCCGGGAGCTGACCCGGACCAGAAGCAGCTCGCCATGTTGGTTATGATGGCAAAAAAACCCAGCAATAACCTAAACGTCAGCCGGCCAGAGGCTAGTTCAATGCAACAGCCGCCCACACAATGGAACACCAGGTGAGCTTCCCTCTCTCCTTCTTCCCAGTCCCAACACTTCCTTCTTGAATATTTCAGTTCAAAACCATCAGGTTGGGCAAGAAAGGTACCTCTAGCGACGGGAAACTCGCCACCCCTGCAGACACTCCACTTTTGGGTAGTTTGATGTCTAGAGTGTCCCTCCTGGGCCGGGCGCGGTGGCTCAAGCCTGTAATCCCAGCACTTTGGGAGGCCGAGA